CCCCCCCCCCCCCCAACAAAATGTTCACCCCTCCAAAAAAAAATTCGACCTCCCCCAATTTTAAGCATTTGAACAGTGCAACACTCTGAAACTAATCACTCCTTGTTTCCATTCACAGAATCACACTGGTTTATTGCAGCAATATAAAGCTTTAAAACTCACTATTACCTCAGCTTAGATCATCCTTCGCATAGCCCTTTGCTTTTAAAGTTCATAATAAGTATTGCTTTACTAAGTTTAACACAAAATATAAGTTATATATTATAACGTAAAGGAACGAGAAAATTAAAGGATCTTTGTGTCGTTCAGTTATTAAAGAACCTTTTATACAATAAATTGATCGACTGTCACCTTTGGTTCATTTTCTTGCATAATAATACTTGCATATGTCACCTGCCTCGTCCCCAGGCGCTAATAAAAAAATTTCATGCGAGTCACTATATGAAAGGTTTACATGAAGTAGTGCATCACGACGAACAAGCGCAGGGAGTTATCAACCTCGTTCCCAGGGTCTTTTTTATGGGCTTGAGGCATCGCTTACCAGAACGCTCATATCCCACTCCGCTTTGCGCGCTTATAATGTGACGCACTACTTCATGTAAACCTTTCATATAGTGACTCGCATGAAATTTTTTTATTAGCGCCTGGGGACGAGATTTTCACAGAAAAAGCAAAGTGATAGTGCACACCTCTATTGCAAGTGATAGTGGACACTTTTACAAACATTTTCTGTTTCGACAACAGGAGTCCTACTTTCAGCATCATCCATACAATTATCTCCGTATGTAACTTTTGCCTAAAACTGTCGCATGCAGCCTGCTTGAGCCATGTCTGTCAGATGTTGGGATCCTAGGTAGCGGCGCTACCTGCAAGTGCCTGAAGCTAACTGCAACCCTTGGTCAGAAGGTCTTATGCAGCTAATGCAGGCTTAGGTGAAGTAGCAAATTTCAATTTTTCCGAATACATTTTGCAATATATACCGACCAGATTTAATAAGAGTCGTACCCGAGACGTAAAATCATCAAATGATGCCATCAAAAACTTAAACGTTCCTGTTCTGTGGCCGAATTTTATTCATCAGCGGACAACTTTGTCGGCTTGATATGTGAAAATTTTCGAGCAATTGGGTTTGAGCAAATTAGCGGAGACTCAATTTTGACAATATGAAACATAATTAAAAAAAAATGTTTGTGAAGTTACTCTGAGCGTGTACCCACACCGGGCAAGCCTGAAAAACACGCCTGGCCACGGTGGGAACCAAAACCACGACCCAGGGGTCGTGGGTTCCCAAGGGGTCGTGGGTTCCCAAGGGGTCGTGGGTTCCCAAGGGATCGTGGGTTCGGTTCCCACCGTGGCCAGGCGTGTTTTTCAGGCTTGTCCGGTGTGGGTACACACTCAGAGTAACATCACAAACATCATATTCACCTGAGTACACAACACCCAGGGGCGGATCCAGGATTTTTCGTACGTTAGTCAAAGTTTTCGGATTTACAATCTAGTTTTGCGGGCAGCGAATGCGCGAGGCACCTAGGGGGGTCTGTCCCCCAGGAATTTTTATATTTTTAAACCTCCGAAATGCAATTTGCA